TTTTATTAATTTATTTTTGAAAATTATTATCTACTGATTGGAGTATTCCACTCGAGGTTATATATATACGCATTATACCTCGTATAATAATATACTAGATATTCTTTAAAAAAAATTCAGTTTGTTATTAGTTTTGGTGCTCCGAAAAAATATTGATCCATCCAACTGAATTATAGTATTTTTGCTTACAATACATTTTTTAACAGGATATAGTACGCAAAATCGACTGTACTGTAACAGTACAATAATAAATGTAAACGTTTAACCTTTATGATCTGTGATATTATAGTACGGTTGGCAACCCTAGGTACTGTTAAATTTGTCCTACCGTTTTTTAAATTTATTGTGGAAATTTCTCCTATTTTTTTTTTAATATTATGCTACTTGAATTTTTCCCACACACTATTTTAAACCTGTTGTTGAAGAAATGGCGAATGCGCCGGGATAACTGAAAGTGTGTCCCAATTTAACCCCTTAGGGATTAAGATACAACAATTAAATTACGTCCATAACGCGCTCAGGAGCCCGGAGAATATGTGGTGACAATCAAATGAGGAGCATCCGTGCAAAACCGGCTATATCCACTTTAATAAAATGTTGGGAAAATGGCAAAAACTCTCGGTTTCCTGGCCTTTACAGATAAAAGAAAAACAAACTTGAGTTTTGTGGGCTTTGTAGTACTTGCTTTATAAGACATAGTTTCGTTTTCAAAAACTTTATATTAAGGCCAAAATTTCAAAAAATGTTTTGTACGAGTATATAGCCGATTTTGCTCAAAAACCGAATAAAAAACGAATAAAATATGAAAAAACCTTTATTATTCAAAAATATTAACAAAATAAATTTAGTGCAAACATGAAAAAACAGAACAAATTTTAGTAGTAGTATCGACATATCCAAGCCACATATTATTATTTATTGGATATAGCCGGGTTTGCTATAAAAACGTGGATTTGGCCGGTTTTGCTCCTAAAGCTACCTTTTAAATGTGATTTTAACATGGATATAGTTGGATTTGAACAGAATTATCTTGGTTGTCGATAGAAATGAACCCAAAGATGCGAAATAAAAAAAAAAAAAAAACTGAATAAAATGGATTTAGCCGGTTTTGCACGGATGCTCCTCAAATGGTTTATTTGGAACAATGAACCTGAACTTTTAGGTATACTTAGTTATAACTTACTATTAACTATACAGATTTATTAATTTAAAAAAAGTTTTGTAAAATTACATTGATTTTTAATTTAAACCCAATATCCACAACTCGAAAAACAAACAATTAAAGAAAATTAATTAAAAGATTTATGAAGATTGTAGGAAATAACGTGTCTAGATATATCTATATAAATTTATAAATTTCAAAGCAGGTCAAAGAAATTTTTTTTAAAGGCACAACAAATTTTATTAATCTATCCAGGAAAATTTTAGATAGATAGATAGTCCCATTAACTATAGTTAATAGGATCCTATACTCGAGTATCTGTACGGATATAACTGTTCTGCAGTCAATTAAAAGAAAAGCTAGTTCTTCCCCCTGCAATATCGTATAACAACGATCGCTAATTACTGAGAGGGGAGGAAAAACCCCCGAATAAAAAAATTAGTTAATTGGGCATGTAATTAGCAAATTAACCCCGAACGCTGGCTTGGATATTATTTCGCGCCCGCGGCTCTCGGTGATCTAGTGGCCCTGTGCCGCGGAGGTCTTGATCATTATTTGGACCGGTAACTCGATCTGGTGTTTACAATCATGGGTCGCCCAGGGCCCGGACTATTAACTTACCCTTAACCTGAATACTTTTATTTTGTGTAATTAATATTAAAATGTCAACGGAAATCATAACTAAGGCGTCTACCGTGAGGGGTTCAACTTAAATATCGAATTACTTACTCTTGGTAATGTTTATCGTTAATTCCATGCCAAGCAGTGGCGTATCTACCATTAATACTGCGGAACAAGTTAAAATGACATATAGGTTTGTTCAGCTTTGAACGGAGAAAATTGATGAAAACGATTTTTTCTTTCTACATTGTTATAAAAATCCGATTTTTTAACATCAGTTTGTAGTTTGTTAATTTTATTTTGTAAAATTTTAAAATAATTTTTTGTATAAAACCAAAGGAAAATATTTTACCGAAAGGCAATATGCAATGTTGTAAGCATTTTGTTAATTTTCAAAGGTTACAGATTATTTTGTTAATGTTTAACAAATTATTTTGTTGAAAAAGTTCAGCCAATTAAAACATTTCCCACTGACAATACGCATCAACAAGTTGACTTCAGCCTCTTCAACTTATTTTTCTGCTTACTTTATTCTAATTCGTAACGTGTTCCTAACGACTGTCCAGTGTTTATAATATATTACCAGAAATTCGTATTCCTTCCCAATTTCCAACAAAAACTTTTATTACTGGGTCTATAAAAAGGTTGGTAAAAATAAGGTCCTTTTTGAAAATTACAAGAATTATGGTTGAATTATTGATATCAAATTTTGTTATTAAATCTACAAAATGTCTGTTATAATTACAAACTACTTATTCAATTAGTTAACAGATTACCGTTGGTTGTAAACTTAACATAAAGTTATGTGGAACTGGATTTACATATTTGTTTAAAATTAATATTTTTCTACTTTGTATGGTAAAGTTAAATTTTATTTTTTTTTACTTTTTTCAATAGAGGGCGCTGCAATAATATATCTATGGTAGACATAGACGGTAAAATTTAACTTTACCATACATATATGTTAAAAAAAAACAATTAAAAATACCAAAATATATTTATATACAGTAAGAATTTAATCAAATGTGATGTTAAAATCACTCACTAATAGTTTAGTTAGTACCAAATAAATTGTGAAATTAACAGATTTAAATTTAAAAAAGTTGTGATGTTACTAAGGTTTAAACTCGGGTCTCTCGGCTGTGAACTTCTCCTGTCTCGCTGCATTTTCAAACAAATTCCCAATTCAATAGAACTCGCATACTATGTTTTGGTTGCATCCACCTCCAGCACCGACTTGTGTTTTATCAGTAAAGATTGTAAATTTAATTTTTTTTAAGCTCTTGTACTATCTATGAGTTTTCTACAAAAACATGGATTGGAAGGACAATGCTGTGCTTCTGGGCCACATGTCGTTGTGCATATTATGTTGTATTGCAGGTTTTCAAGTACGTTATGGGGGTCGTCAAGTACGTCGCTATAAAACGAGGGAATTAAATCGGGAACGAGCTAAGAAAAGCCATTTCCAGTATTAAAAAAAATTAAAGTGACTGATGAAGAGCAGTTCTTTAAATAAACAAATGACGGTGACCATTTTTGACAATTTACCAAGTCTGGTTGCCCCTCGCATAGGTAACTTACAAGGCGAGACTGCCAACTGAAAACTGTCGTGTGATTGGCTGGATCGAGTAGCGGTTGAGGTAAGAAAAGATGAAAGATGGTCATCTCTTGCCGCTACGTTCTTGCCTCTACCTCCCTTACCGCTACCTCTGACAACTATATATAGGTAAATTGTTTCATATAATATGAAATGCCGAACTCCGCTACCGCTACCTCTAGTAGAGGTCCTCTACGCTGCCTTTACCGTTACCTTTAAAACTATAAATCCAGCTTAAGATTATACTTTTTGCTTGGTCTAAACGTCTAAACGTTCGGTACTACTGACGAAACATTTTTTTAATTATAATTATTGGAAAAATACTTAAACTTATTTGATAACTTCGACAAATTTTTATTGAAAAAAATAAATTAGGATTATTCGAGCCATGCGAATAATATGAAGTTTACGTCGAATAGTTCGAATATTTTATTCAAATAATAGTTGGAATATTCTATTCGAATGATTCGAATATTCTATTTGAAATTCTAATCGAATGTCACTATTTAATTTGTTTAGGTTCTAACACTATTCGTAAATCCCTTGGTTTTAGGTATTTGATATAAAACACTTACCTATATACATATCATTATTTCTGAAGTTAAATTTTCGCAGGTAGGCCCAAATCTTGTGGCTACGCCACTGATCATAAGCAATTTGTAAATTAGTTGGTAATAAATCTGGAGTCTACAGTGAGGGGGGCTCTGTTAACTTAACTTGAGCACGTACAAACCCAATAAAGCGAAACATTAAGAAACAATTATGTGAGACTGGTCTATTTTCCAACAAAAAATCTTATCCCGGGCAAATTTTCTGCAACGGCAATTAATCCACACGCGAAACAAATTATTCGCAAACATCAAAATCACAGATCGTTTGATGTTGGAATGCGTTTATAAATTGCCGCGTTAGGCTTGCAAAATAGAATCCAACCGAAATGAATTATTCGCGAGTAAGTGCACTTAGCACTCCGCAGAGGTATTACCACTTCATCATTTATTTAGCTTGCCACTTTATTTATTGCACGCGTCCTTAATTAGCCTAACATAGTTGGTGTTTTGGTTTCTTTGCGAAAAACTTGGCATTGCCTTCGCGAAAAATATTTATAGTTATTTTTTTACCGTAATAACTAAACCGATATATTACCTTAGCTGCAGTACAAAAATGGAATGCCAAAATTAACAATTAAAGCCTTTTTCTGAGTCTTACTAAAATTGGCCACCGAGATAGTCGGATCTAATGCCATGCGACTTCTTTCTGTGGGGTTTTATGAAGCTTTTCGTCTTTATTTATTTACCAACCATCCATACACTGAAGAAAAATTTAGTACTGTCACTGGCCAAATTAAAGGAAAAATATGCGAAAATCACATTATATATTTTAATAGGTACAATACCGTTTTATTGACAGTCTTAGATCATTCAAATTATACGAAAACAATTGTCAAGTACTTTATTTAATAAATTTTCGAATGTCTAATGGTGTAATCACAGCTTCTTGGAGGCTATGGAGAAGTTTATTTCTCGAAAAAACTAACATACTATGTACTGTTTTTGTATTTTTAATCATAAAACAAATTAAGATCATTTTAATTAACAAATATATTATCTTTTATTTCAGCGATCTCTCCAGTTTCGAGCTTCAACAGTTTGAACGGCTCGGCTGGTCCGTTGCTAGGCAACGGCAATAGCAACGCCTCCCACACCTCGGTGGAATCGACGGAGGAGCCCGATCGAGCAGCTTCGACCAGCTCGTGCCAGTCGCCGCAACCGCAGCCCTCCTCCTCGACAGCTTCGTCGACGACGAACAACAACAGCGGCGGCGGCGGCGGAAGCAGCGGCCAAAGTAAACCGCCATACTCGTACGTGGCTTTGATTGCGATGGCGATCAACTCGTCGCACGCCAAGCGAGCGACCCTGTCGGAAATTTACTCCTACATCACCTCCAAGTTTCCTTACTTCGAGAGGAACAAGAAAGGGTGGCAGAATTCCATCAGACACAATTTGAGTTTGAACGAATGTTTCGTTAAGGTTCCACGAGAGGGAGGCGGTGAAAGAAAGGGTAACTACTGGACTTTAGATCCTACTTTCGATGATATGTTTGAAAATGGTAACTACAGACGGCGTAGGAGGATGAAGAGACCATACCGCTCTCCTCAACCATATCATAAAGCTTTTTTCGGTGATACTTTGGGACAGCATGGTTTACCACTACCGCGGAATATATTTACTCCTCCGTCATATCCACCCCATTACTCCCGATACGATGCGGCATCATGGCTGGGCCAGCCGCCGCTTGCTACTTACACCAGCTGCAATACCACCCCTACTTACCAGCAGCAACCATACGCTACACCAACCCCATTCAGTTCATGCAGTGTGAGGCAAGACGCGCCAGGGAGGTATCCTCCATATTGGCCCCCCGATGCCGAATACTCCCCCAGCTCGCATAGTTCTCCGCCCTCGGACCCGCAGCTGCTCTTACAGTGGTGACCGTTCAGCAGCTGCAGCTAAACCGTGTGCTTCCTGCGATCTGTTTGAAGCTGGTAGCTGTAAAAACGTAATGTCAAAATCATGGTTTGTAACTGAATGTTAGTGTCATTTGAACCAGAGTGAAGATACGTGCTTTTATATATTGCAATAAATTTAGCTGTTATGTTTTTGTCGAAAATTGTTACTTTCAAATTTGTTTTAAGCATGTTGCTCATATCTTCTAACTAAGGTAGTTTTACGATTACTGTATAAATTAATTACCAAAAAAATATGTTTAATTTTACTTTTTTTTGACGTATTGTTTTCATGTTTATACACATTTTGTATTATCAGTTTTTGAAAACTGTTTTTGTTTTGTGATTCGTATTTTTTTGCAAAATGCAATATTATTTAATTACTTCAAACAATTAAACCAATGATGTTACGTTTTTTATATTATGTGAAGAACTTTTTCTCGTAGGATAATTAATTATTTTTATATGTTAATTTTAGACATGAACAAAGAATATTCTCGCTGCAATAATGTAATATGTAAAGTAAAAAGGAATCATGGCGAGGGTAGATTTTGAACATATCTAGTTAATTTTATTCCGTCCCTTTTATTTAGACTTTAAAAGGTCATTGTTTATATGTATTTATGTATGTAACTTAAAAATAATAAATAATATAAAAATTACAAACTCTGTATTTATCACCACTTCAATCCAAGCTAAAAATAACAAACAAATATATGATGAAATGAGAAAATCGAAACACAAAACTGTTGTGAAAGCAACAAGAAACCTGCCCAATATTAATGTGTTAGCTACAATCTATGTGTTTTCGGACACGTTCAATTAAATTAAGGGGTCTTGCTATCAAGTATTAAATATGACTGAAGACACGGATACAGCGCAAAAAATTGTAGTGCACGCCATAGTCTAAATCCATTGAGTAAAGAAGAACTTCTTTACTCAATGCTAAATCGATAGAGCGTATCTTCTAGAAGCTAGAGCTACAAAAGAATTAAAAAAACTAAAAACCTTTTAAATCTAAAAATCGTTATGTCCTGGGAATTTTGAAACCAACATATATGTGTATACACATTAATCTACATTTTCATCCAATTTTTTCTCTATTATGTTTTGGGTTACCATCACCATCTTTTGTTTTTATAATGGCCGACATAACTTTTGTAGATATTGTTTCTTTCTATCTAGCCATGTAAAATTTCAATAAGAAAAACAAAAGAGGGTGGTGGTATCTCAAAATCTAGTTGGAGAAAAAAATCACAAAGTGGATAAAAATGTGTATGTTTAATCCCCAGGAATAACAAAGTTATAACGATTGTTAGTTTGGACAGGTTTTCAGTTTTTTGTAATTATTTTAGAACCGCTGATTTGTTTTCTAAAAGCCATTTTAATATACTTGTAATTACTTAACTTTTGTCTAATTTAACCGACCTTGTAGCTCTTTAAATAAAAAATATACCCAGTCTGTATTAAAAAAAATAATTTTATTTTTAATTTTTAAGTAACTTGTAAGTAAGCCCAGAAACTTTTAAAAGCAAATTGATTGACAAACTGGTTAAAAACCACTTACATTTAGAGAAAATAAACCTAACAATTGGTGCAGATGATGTGCACATGTTCGAAATTTGACCACAAACACCTTGTAAAGCCTAAAAGACCTTTATTATTATGTCATTTTTAAATAAAAACCTTGGACCTTATTTTTTTAAACCTTTAAAAACACAACTTTTATTGCACAAATTCCTTGCTGCTCTCAAAAATCAAAAAAACATATAAGATTCACTGGCAAAGAATTGTTAATTTATTACTTCTTTTAATGCATTAATATATAAATGTATTTATATAGATAGAAAATTAGCCAATAAAATCATATACTTCATAAACAAAGCTGTTCCTAACGCCATAAACGTGTTGAACACGTCACAAAATGGAGCGGTTCTTTTTCATCCTTCCCTATGATTTATATTGATAGTTTGTTTTCGGCAAAACCGTCTAAGTGAAATATCTTGTTTAGTAAATAGTGTTAAGTATTTTTAGGGATGAATGGAAACAGCTAAAATGCCGGCGCAAGTGTTAAAGGGAGGGTGGAAGTAGTCGATCTATGCATCCGGGACGACTAATAGAGAGCTACTGGTCCAGATCAGCTGTTGGTACTTTGTCTTGGGGCCAGAAGGTACTGTCAAGATGTTAAGGTTAAATTACTTTAATTTATTTGATGGGAAGTCAAAACTAAATAGTTCACAATGGTTATAAGTTTAAAAATAAGAGGATAGGTATTGACTATTTTTTACTATAATAGTAATAATAATTAATAATTAATGGGTATAGCCTATACTGTAAAATAATATAAATATAATATATATATATATATAAATATATGTATATATATACAGGGTGGCCCGTTGAAAAACAACACACCCGATCATAGAAAAACCACCCGATATTCTTCAAAATGTCCGGGAACACTTTGAACAGTTGGTGTATTTTATGGAGGTGAACGGCCGTTGACATAATAATAAATGGTCTTTTAAGTTTATTTTCTCTAAATGTGAGTGGTTTTTAACAAGTTTGCCAATCAAATTGCTTTTAAAAGTTTCTGGGCTTACTTACAAGTTACTTAAAACATTTTTTTTTTAATTATACAGACTGGGTATCTTTTTTATTTAACTCTCTACAAGTTCGGTTAAATTATATAGTCTATAGACAAAAGTTGAGTCTCTACAAGTATTTTAAAATGCAATTTAAAAATTTAGAAATCAAATCAAATCAAATCAAAAATATTTATTCATGTTCTTGTAAAGTATAATAAATTGTAAAAATAATTTCAAGTATATATATGGTGTAAAAAATAAAATGAACAAAACAAATGTGCCTGGCACGTAATGTTCAACATAAAGGAGGCCACTATATGTACGTTAAAACGCAATATAGCAACCCCCTGGCCGATGTTTTGGCCTACCCGAAATTACAATACAATTTGGAATTGTCTCGTAGCTCGCCATTCCCTTCGCTCAACCGATGCAGGGGCAACCCAAGCAGCATTTTAAGTAAAATCGTAGAGCTTTGACGCAATATTACTTAATTTAAGTAAATATTTTGTTAAATTAACTTTAAAAAATTACTTTGAGGTAAAACTTTTTTTAAAGTTATTTAATAGGTTTCCTTTATGTTATTTTTACCTATTTTAATAACCCTTAAGTTTCAACACTTTAAAGTATTATGAGGGACGTATTTTTTACGAAAGAAAATTACTTATAAGTGTATTTCACCTAAAGGAAAATTTAACGGTAATTTTAACGTTAGAATTTTTACTTAACGGTAAATGTTACTCATAAGTCATAATTTTACGATATTAAGACCACTTTATAACCGTAAATAATTCCTATTCGCCTGGTATTTTTTAGGGTTATTAGTGGTAATAAATACTTTTAATATTGACTAAACAAGGAAAAATAAGCTTAAAGTGAAAAATAAAACTTTAAGGGAAAATTGTTTTCAGGTCGCCATAATGAATTTTTTAAGAAGGCATCCATTACTTATCTAAACATTTATATGATATTTTTTCATAAATATTTTTTTAAAATATAATAAATAAAGTTTTAGTTATTAAAAAATTATGAGGCGCCGTTTGTGCCATAATTATGTTGCTAATATATATTTATTTTTGTTTGATTATATATATTTTTTAAATTTATTTTTAAATTTACTTTATATATTTATTATTTTACTTAAAATATATTTATTTTTGTGTGTTAATATTAATAATATTATAATAATATTATTAATAATATTATGTTTTTTTGACATCTGCTAATATATATTTGTTTTTTTGACAGACAATTCAATGTGGCAACGTTGCATTGTTATTTAACCCGTTGTTCATAGATGTCGTTGTTGTATTAAGTTTATTAATACTTAAACGGCAATATTTTTTGAATTTTTGAGGTTAGATTCCATTAACGACTTTGTTTTTATTTATAAACGAAAGAAATAGTGAAGACGGTAAATTTTTTGCGGTTATTTAAAACAGGTAAATACCCAATAAATTTTTTTTTATTAATTTAATTTAATTAGTATATTTTTTGTAAAAGCGAAATTTTAGTAATAATGGAAAGAAGTAGTCCAGAGTTGCGTAGCACACTTGTTTTGAGTAGCCACCGAAAATTCACCGAATTTTTCTTTCGTTTTTAATTAAAAACAATCGCTGATAGAATCTAACCTCAAACATTAAAAAAATATTGCCGGTAAAGTATCAGTAAACTTAAAACAACGACATCTATGAACAACGGGTTAAATGACAATGCAACGTTGCCACATTGAATTGTCTGTCAAAAAAAAACAAATATATATTAGCAGATGTCAAAAAAACATAATATTATTATAATATTATTAATATTAACACAAAAAAATAAATATATTGTTCTTAAAAAATAAATATATTTTAAGTAAAAAAATAAATATATTAAGTAAATTTAAAAATATATTAAAAAAATATAAATATTCAAACAAAAATAAATATATATTAGCAACATAATTATGGCACAAACGGCGCCTCATAAAAAATGATTAAAACTAAATAATTTTTAAAAGATTTTATAAAATTTTGTAGGTTTTAAGTTTTGTTGAATTTTTACCCAAGCAATAATTTTTCTTAAAACTGTAAAATATTTAGAGGGTATGTAATTTTTAAGATGTATCCTGCCTATTTTTATCAATAAAATAATGTGCGTTTGAGTTTTAATGCAAAATATTATTAGTTTTGACAATTTAAATTAAAAGAACAAAGAAATTACGAATGTCAATGTTTTTGAAAGAGAGAGCAAACAGTTAGTAATTATAACGTTATTTTTACGTAAATTTGTGGTATTTATATTGTTTTTATTACGTTATTCTCTTAGTAGATCCAAAAGGTTATTATGTAGTAAAATAACGAAATAAACCATTCCCCAAATTTGGTAATTTTTCGTATCTATACCGTTATAAAACCGTTTTGGTTAACCGTAAAAAATACTTTAAAGTTGACTTAGTAGTAAATTTGTAGTTATTTAAACTTAAAATGCTGCTTGGGAATATTGTTCAGATGTTTTTTGTGTATAAATTAAGGACTGTCAGTTTATGCTTTTCATAATTTTTTAAAACAAATCAACGGTTCTGAAATAATTACAAAAAACTGAAAACCTGTCCAAACTAACAATCGTTGTTATGTTTGTTATTCCTGGGGATTTTGAAAAATGTAAGTTTCTTGTAAACACACACACACACACATATATATATATATATATATATATATATATATATATATATAGGTAATGTAACCTACTGGCACCAAATCCGGGCATATATAGACGTTGTGGCACCATTTTCTGGTGCCAGTACGTTTTATCTCATTTTTAAGTGTTTTATATTGAAACTAAAAGAATGACGTAATTTTAAAAAGGTGCCTTTTCGACCATTTATTTAGCAATTATATATTTTAGTTTAACCACATTTTGCCAGGGAGCGCTACGACCGTTTCCAATTTCTGTAATTTTACGAAGTGGCACCTTATATTTCGCGGTATATACTAACACGTTGTGGCA